AATATAAAGCGCCTTGAGGTGACTGCTGTTGTGATTTGGTGCTGTATAAATAAAATTGAATTGAATTGAACTGTGAATGTACAAAACTATGAACCTACAGTCTTTTTAATATTATATATGTAGATGAAATGTAATTTCATTACTGCACACTACATGACTAAAAAGTCTCAGGAATTTATGTCACATAACCCTAACAGCTGAGTTTCCAGACTCGACAGCTAATTCTGATCATAATATACACCAAACAAAGCTCACTGACAGCCAACTGATGCAAACAGTGATTTAACAACTGACAGTTCCTTTTCTGTACTGGACCATTCAGTCCATCCAAAAGAAAAGCAGAATTTTTAGTTTTTCTGCGCTGTGGGAGTGTGGAAGCCCAAACACTCATGATTTGGCTGTAGGTATTCTAGTTCTCTCTGCTGTCTAGAGAGCAAACTTCTTAAAAAAAAAAGGAAAAAGAAAGACTCCTAAAACAAGTGGAAAGTTCCTTCTTTGTGTCATAGTAGTACATTTTGTATCTCATTTTCCACTGGCAGCACAAGCTATTTGCTGGAAGCTGCTTTCAGTGCTCTGTCGATACATTATTGCTGAGTTAGCTTTGTTCCTTGGATGTGGGTATATACACACTATATCAAAAAAAAAAAAAAAACACATCTGAAAATATAGGGGGGGTGAAAAAAAACAAAAACACAGACACTGTTAAATTTGTGCCAGCCTGATTTATGCTATCCAATTAACTACTAGAATAACCAAGAGGCTCTGAGTTGCTGCACAGCAGGTCAACTGAACATGTTTAAAAAAGGAAGAGTTCTAAAGAGAATAACAGTGGACTTTCAATAATGAATTACAAATGCAGCGCCTATTCATGACTTTAAATTAAGCAGCACTTTCAAAGAAATCATCCACTTTGAGGAAATCAGCCCAACAAACTAAACTCGCATAGCTTTGTCTCTTTTAACTAGCTTTTTGTGGAAAATGTCTATTGGGTCATTTTCTATAAACTATAAACTAAAGATGAAGAGTCCACGGAGAACTGTGGAGAGGTTGTGCTCAGATTCGTACAGTAAAATTTGTTGGTTTACATTTTAGACATCTAAAGATTTTCACACGCCCAGGCAAACTGATTCCCACCCCCTGGCTGCTGTGACTCATACCTGGAAAGCATTGCTGGCAAAGCCCAGTCCCAGCTGTCTACAGACAACCATGGCCTCCATGGTTCTCCAGCCCTCGCTGCACACCGTCCCCCACACCAGAGAGCCATTTCTCTCCACCAGCACCTCCACACGGCCTTCATACGGGTTACGACCTCCACTCAGACGCAGCTGTGGGTGTGGAAAAAAACAACACGGGACTGTTGATGATCATCAGTGCTCTTGGAAGGGACACATTTACAGTGCTTGTTGCCATTAAATGCAAAATGAATACAGATTTAATCAAGATTTCACTGGTACACCTCTACTGCACCTTGTACACTTCATACATACTTTTGTATGTAGTAATGTTCCTCTCAGAGGTCTAAGTCATGACTCAACCTAGGTTCACTCCTGTTCATCCTGTAAACACTTCCTGGCTGAATTTGAGGCAATTTCTGCACAATGAGATTAATCAGCTCTGCGTTGTATCAGGTAAACATCTACGTACTTTCAGAAATTACATTTTCATATTGTAAAAATTGCAGTGTGTCAAGCATTGCATTGCAACACATGTTAGCACAAACTAAAGAACACTTAAAGTATTCATGTTATTATGTTATACAGTAGAAGGAACTCCAGTTCTTGTCTACTGGATGAACTGCTGAGTTGCACTGTGAACTCATTTCCTAGAGCAGCTGTGTTAACCAGCATTTGACTGTAGTGAAATGGAAACCAACCCTTTCCTGGAAGCCCATTTTTGGGACATTACATCTGACGGCTGCATCCTCCTCATGGCTACAACCCAGAGCCTCCTTATTGAACGAACACTCAGTTATGGACTTCTCAAATCCTGAACACTCCACCTCATTCATATGCACTGGACCCATACCTGAAAAATGCACACAAAGAAGCAGATTCAGTTTGAATCACACTGAAGGTGACTGAGGGAACACAAATCTGTATGTTGGGTCTTGTTACATATCATTAAAAAACACAATTTTGGTGTAATAAAAAAAATCTAAAATTCAAAGCTTCAAAGAAAAACATGTTTTCTTTCCAAGAGTGAGGCGCCTACATGCTAAATATAAGGTCAGAGTCAAAAGTTAATTAGTTTAGCATTAAGGCAAGAAACTAGAAGAAAACAGGTAAAACAGGAAGTAGGAATTAGCATCTATCAAGAAGCTGGTGCAGAAGGTTTTCAGTCTATTGCAATTTATAGTGTAATAAATTGCATTTTAAAATATAAGCTTAGTAACCCGTCATGTTTCCTGTTTGCTTTTTACAGTCTTCTAGGTGTGTCCACCTGTTGTAAACTGAATGAATTAAACATTTTTAATTGTTGTTTAGTTTAATTATTGTCCATTGTTCTCCAATGGAACAATTGGCAATGGAAAGATAGGGTCGGGGTTCAGAGCTCAGCAAGGTTAAATATCTGAGGATCTTGTTCTGTGTCCCAACCCTCATTATCTCTGGTTACAGAGGCACCTCTAGAATTATTTCGTAGAGGTGGCTATATGGGGGTTACTGAAAATATTGTGGTGGCACACTAAAACCAGAATTTCCAGTTTTATTATGCTGTCGTCAAATATAGGTTAGTTGAAAATTATGGCTAAAAAGGGAAAGAAAAGAATGATATGCCGAGTTAATTTCCTGCTATTAATTACTGAAAATAGGTACATATGAAAAACATTTTGAAATCCATAATGATCAGTTTTGATTGATTGGATTGTATAAGAGTTTGAACTGTTGCCTATCTATGTTGGCTCTGAGATGCACCAGTGATCTCTCCATGGATTGCCACCAGTTTTTCTGCAAACTTATTACATTGTTACACACATAGGTGGCAGGGCTCAGCCTTACGTATGTGTAAGAGCTTAGACATCTGGAGGAGAGCTGCTGCTCCTTGCTGTAGAAAGGAGAAAGCTGAAGCATTGCAGTAGGAGACCCAGAGTATGCCCAAAACTCGTTGGGGGTGATTATAGATCTAATTTAACGTGGTAGCACATCACAATCCAAGAAGAGGAATTGAAAAAAAAACAAAAAAAAACAAAACACTGGACCTCTCTGTGACCCTGTGAGCCTGCTGTTACTGTGACATAACACAATAAAAGGAAGAAAATGGATGGATGGACATAATCATGTTGTACCAAACAGTGATATTGTAACACTGTGAGGTCTAATGCTTCATTGGTAAAGACAACAACCCTACAGCTTCCACAACATGCTGTGTTGGTCAAACCCTTAACCCGTGTTTTGAAGAAAAGCAAAAAAGGCTTTTTGTAAAAGAAAAAAAACAGTCAGTTAATAGCATCTGTTAGAATATCTCCTGATATGCAAGACGTGGAAGAACAATGTTTTAAAGAAACAAAAAAATAGATATTCACTGATGATGACTTAAACCACTGAGGGTTAGATAGTTCCTGTTTGTCCTCTTTCTTCCATGAAGTATGGAAGAAGTTTTAGAACCACTAAAACCCATCAGGAGCAGCAGCAGTCTATCTAAAAGTGTCAGAAGTCCTTTAAAAGAATTTGCTGCTTCTCAGCAGCTCAGACTGGACAGAACTAAGGAAAGCATGAATTTAAATATACAGAGATTCTTGTCAAGACCTGGTCTAATGGTCCAAAACCAAAATAAATCTGCAAATCTTTTTGTTTTAATTCTATTTCTGTCACTTTTGTTTAGAGAGTGTAGTCTAATAGTAAGTTAAAAAAAAGCAAAAACCCCACATATGCCCAGGGTTCCTTTACAAACTAATCATACAAAGAAGCAGACCACGGAGCTAAATAGGAAAGACTAAGTCAGCTAAGCATGGAAACAGAAGGTCATACATACAAGAGGATCAATAAATCAAACAACTCAACAACTAGAACAGTTCCACAACAGCAACTACACATCACATTGCCCGATGATTTCTGAGGCCCTGTGAGCACAAATGTAAAGCCACTTAACCTGCAGATCAGCTCAGTCTGCTCCACAGACACAAAGTATTAATTGTTCAAGTCTGACTTGTATGTTATGTCTTTATAACTATAACATATCTATTTCCAATTTTCCCTTTGTCTTATGGTATAGAATTACTATCTGGGCTGACTTCTATTTTCCATGAAACATTAAAGGCAGTGATGAGAAACCCTGATGGAAAAAGCTACTTTCTCTTCCTTTCAAATTTTTCCACGTCTAACGTGACTGGAATGTGCAGCAGTGTACAGCATGTCCCTGCCTTTTCTGAAGAAATGTTCTTCTTGTTGCCAGGTATCCACACACTGCTAGAGAAAATGTGATTTTTCCACCTTATATGCTGAAAAACAAGTAAGCTATGTGTTTAATACACTTGAACACTGGTGAGATATCTGCTGCATGTGTAAGTTAGAAGTGTGTTTATGCCACATTTTTGTTAGGTGTGTGCTGCTGACTTCCAAACCTGCCAGTGGCATAACGCAGCTCGCGCAGGTTATGAAAACCTTAAAGTGAAGCTGCTCACAATAAAAGCCTCCACTGAAAATAAGCAGTCAGTGGGAAAAAAACCCCAAAACAAAACAAAAGACAATAATCACAAACTTTGCTGTGTACATTTCAATGTATTTGCCCACTCCAAGAAGTACGACATGAAAAATCATTATTTCACCATTTTTAAACAGGATAAGAAAAGTAAAGTGTACATCAACAATTAACACAGTGCACTCATATTAATCTAATATCTGTATGAAGGGTTTCTGCCACAAAAATGTTTAATCCCCTGGCTACCAAAGAAAGTGGAGCTCAATGTTGCACTCAAGGAATGTACAGTAGCGCGATCAATCTGGTTCAAGTAAACTGTATCAATACTTAGGCAGTAAAGAGCTGATTGAACTTACTCTTTAAAAGCTCATATTATGCAATAGCTGCAATACTATTTTAAAATGTTACGCACTTCTAATCAATATTTTTTTGTCAACGATTGATTAAATGTACTGGTAACACTTAATATATTATGACATAATATGGCCTGCAACTAAGGGTGTCATTCCACTGTAAATAATAATAATTTCTATGCATTTTAGTTAAAACACTTTTAATCTGTTTATTTATTTTGATTGAAATTACAATGTGCTGTAATTATATTTACCTACCGATACTTAAAAGGTAGGGATACTAGAATAAGGGGGTAACAAGTCTGATTTTTACCGGAAACAAAGAAATAATTTTGCTGAAGCTAAATTTAAGCATTCTGCAAATAATTTTAAGAAGCGAATCAGTAATTTTAGGTTGTGCATAAGCAATTTCAAGTATTGCTTAAATTCATGGATTTTACAGGAAAAGAGACTAATTATATTTTAGGTAATTCTATGTACTCATAAGTGATTTTAAGTACAGCCTAATGTAATTCCAGGTATTTTCTGTAAACATTTCAAAGTTATGTTTGAACAGAATGTTTGAGCAGCTATGGCTCCATCATTATCATGTCACACAGGTCTGTAAATTTTAATGGTATTTTTTTCATATTCAAACCTTCTACCCAGCAAAGATCGTGACTTGTGTTGGTGAAGCACATAAATGGAGCTACAATGAGCAATGGGCCAACATTTAGTGGACCTGTTTAACAGATGAATCCCCAACATAAACATGTACAGTTGTAATTGCACTAAATTTTTTAGTGTTGTGGTTAGTTTCTTGCGTTACCACCAAACAGCTGACAAAATGCCACTGTGACATGAAAACATGCAAACTAAGGGCAGATTTTATAACCTTGTCTATGAGTTCATGTTCCTCTGGCTGCAAAAGGGTGATATAAGCAGAAAAGTTTAAAGGCTAGAATTACTTCTCTGAAATGTTTGGGATATGTGGTTTTGCTCCACAGTCAAGCCCTTCCATTCTGTGCCATGTAGGAAATATACACAGACATTTGTTCCAGGAGTAAAGTCGTTTGGAGCTCGGTGTCATGGGTTATTTTCAGGTCTACTTTGTAATCAGCCCATCTTTTTGATTTTTTTTCCTTGGTGCGTGCAGCTCACATTTCATGTCCTTCTGCTTTCCTCATTGGTTGCATTACAAAGCTAAGGAGAGAGCGTCGCTCTAGCTTAGGCTGGTCTAATTTTAATTTTTTTCCTTTTCTCAGACCTTTCACTACTGTGAAGTCCCAATCAATGAGCAGGCATGAAAACAATCTGTCAGTATTTTTTTTTATAAAAAATAAATGATATAAAACCAGTATACCTTGTCCAAGGCGACCTCCAGACAGAGCCTCCTTTGCTGTACCAAAGCCCAGCTCTCGACACACCACTGTGGCAGACAACAGGTTCCACTTGTCATCACATATGGTGCCCCACTCTCCATTTTTCAACACCTCCACTCGCCCCTCACCTACGATGGCCCCACCACGGAGACGAACCAATGGTTGCTGAAGACGACAAACACAAACACCGCAAAAAGAGGTCACTGTAAAAACTGAACCAAAAAAGAAAAATCACATATTTCAGTTATTCTAGTACTTTCAAAACCCTAAAAGCTGAACTTTTCCTTCTCTGTGATGAGAGAGCAGAGGCAGCAGACTGGGTGGTTTTATGTTTATAGAACAAGCTATTAATGTGATTCTCCCATTAACTGTTTGCATAAACTGAAAGTGTTTAATTTTACAAGTAAAGCACGGTTTGGAAATCTGGTTTACTGAGCTTTGTATTCACAAGGAGAAAACCCAGACATCTTTATGTGTGGGCTCTGGAATAAGTTTTCACTCGGATTTCCTCAGCACTATTAACATTACCATTAGAACCAATAAACAATCATTATTCTAAAAATGTGACACATAGATAAATGTCAGGATCAGGGTAAGTGAGGCACCAGTTTACTCTAACCCTCATGGCGTATGTGAATGTAGGACACGGGCAGGTATAAAACCTTAGAGACACTCCTGACCAGCAAGTATCAGCAGTGGTACAAGGACACACAAACTGTGATCATGATGGTGGCAGGCTGTTGGACACCACATCGTCAAAACCGACAGAAGGGCTTTGGTGGCTTAGGACAGTAAATTTTAATGAGTGTCACAACGCAGGAAGTCACACCCTTTTATGTATGTTGTTACATAGCAGCCATCTTGTCAAAATGCAATGCTAACACCAGCCCAACTTCTAATGCTTGGGGTAAAAAAAAGAAAGTCGTCCAATTTGTTCAATATCATTTACACCATTAAAGTACACAGGTATGCTACAGATATTTTTGGAAGGAGACAAGCTGCTTGGGTAAATATGAGTTTTCTAGACACAGGCCTTCATGTGTATGTTTGACTCAAAACAACTTCCAACATATTGGTAATGAAGAGATATTCCCCTTCATGCCAGCAATGTTCACCCAATGAAAGTGACTTCCTTTTCATCGGCAACAACCATCAACGTGTCTTTTAGACCCCATTCCTACAAAACTGCTCAAAGAAGTCCTGCCATTAATTAATTCTTCGATCTTAAATATGATCAACCTATCTCTAATAATCGGCTATGTACCACAGGCCTTCAAG